GGTCTTGCCGGCCTCTTGGGAGCCATTTGGGCTCCGCTCGGTGCCGTGGGGCGGGTGCTGTGCAGAGTGCTGGGGAAGAGTTAACGCCCTCTTCCTTCCCCAGAAAAGCTCTTGCGTCTGGGGTTTCTCTTCCTCTGGCTGCTGCTGACATGGCTGGGCCGGTGTCACGAGTGCTCGCCCTCTGCCACAGCAGCGCGGGTGGGGAAGGACCTTCCTGGGCTCCAGTACAGACCCGCTGGGCCCCTCGGCCCTGCAGCCTCTCATTCTCTGCTGCACTTGCCCCGGGGCCTGCCGAGACCCCTGCCCGCTCGCAGGTGGGCAGGGGGAGGCAGAGCTGCTCCTTCCGGGGCTCCCTTGCTGTTCATCAGCTGAGTATCAGCGGGTCCTTTTGCTGGCTTCAGCCTCCCACTTGCGGCCGGCTCACCTCAGGGCAGGTCCAACCCTGGCACCGAATTTCACCTCCCCTGCAGCCGCAGCCAGGCGGGAGGGTCCTGCGGCGTGTGCTGCAGCCCAGGGCTTTAGGGGGTTTTCTGTCTGGCAACGGGCATGCGATGCAGCTCAACCCTCCCGCAGCAAGCCTGGGCTTGCCGGGTGCCCTGGGTGCCGGGCAGGAGGGGCCGAGCGTCTGCGGGAACAGCACTGGGGTGCATGAAAAGTGCTTGGATGTATTAATAAGGCAAGGCCTCTGGTATTTTAAGTTCAAATAACTTTTAACCTGGTGCCATGAACGGGGTTGTCTGGTTCATACTTCCTAGCGTCGGAGACTGAAAATATTGGGAAGTGTTGCTGTAGCGTCCTGGACGGATGGTGTCGCAAGCCGAGGCTGCCCCTGACCTTGGCAGTGGGGGATTTTTGCGAAGGAGGAAGCTTGTCAGAAAGCCTGAGCAGAGCCAGGAAAGTGCTGAGTTCAGAGATTCGTTTTGAGTGGTCACGATTGCCCCAGGGGTGCACGCAGCTCCCACGGAGGAGGCGGCGGCGGCTTGGGGAGAAACGATGCGCAGTTGAGGATGGTGCTGGTCTGAAGGCACATGGCGTCCCTGGGCGCTGGTACGGGGCAGGCAGCCACACCGGGGACCTTCCCGGCACAAGGGCCGAGCTGGGGGGTGCTGCTGCCGCCTCCCTCGGGGACAGCGCTCTGGAGGGACGGTGCTTTGGTGTTTTCACAGGCAGTCTTGGCATGGCATGCAAGGGAGCTGCTGGAACCTGCTGGCAGAGGTGGGAGGCACAGGCAGTAGACGAGGGCCAGGAGTGCTGCAGAAGGAGCGGGTGACCTTGGGGATGGGAGGGAACAGAAACGGGATGCCGTGTCACTGCGGAGCAGGAGGTCACGCACCGGGGAGCACCAGGAATGTGCTGGGAACTGCGGGGCTTGGGAGCAAGGGGTGGTGTGTGGGGGCCCTGGGCTTGAGCCTCGGGGATGGCGTGGGGGGGTGTGCCTGGCTCCCACAGGGTGACAGGGAGGTGTAGATGGCACAGCATGTGGGTGAGGTTTGTCCAGAGGGCATGCCGGCTCCAGGCCCTGGCTCAGAAGGACAGAGGGGGCTGCAAGGGCGGCTAGGAGCTGGTTTCTTCTGGGGCTGGCCTGGTGCGGCAGAGCAACCCGCAGGGCTCCAGGTCTGTGCGGAGCCCAGTACCACGGGGCACAGCAGAGTCACCCAGCCACAGCAGGGGCCGGGACAGGCACCAACACCGGCCCGGCTAGGGTAGAGCGGAGTTAAACTGGACTTGGCAGGGCGGCAGGGCCAGGGCCGAGGCCCAGGGGAGGAGCGCTGGAGCTGGTCCAGGGGCCATGCTGGTCCTTGCTGCCCAGCCACCGCGGT